CAGGTAAGCTTGAATCCTTGTTGTTTCTTGTAGATTCTTATTAAACATCTTGATGTACTTTGCTTAGGTAAATTGGTAGGACACATCATGATCAAAGAACGAATGTTCAGACGTTAATCATACTGTAACATCTGCACTTTATTTTATTTTTTCAGTTCCCATTGTATATTCCATTTCTATTGAGTCCATTTTGTAGAGATATTTTGTACCCTTTATGTTTCACTATCTTACTATTAGGAAAGAATCTTTGTGGAATAGTTTACTCGTGTTTTAGGAGTATTTTACTGCATCACTGCTTTCTGTTGAATAACTTGCGCAACTTGATAAGTGTGTGTTTTTATTGTTATATTCGTGTTCCCCTACTCGCCAACTTTTCGTCATTGGTGCTTCAAGGAAAATGAGAATTCCAGATTAGTCACTGTTACGTATAGGTCCACACAATTTAGTCCATTCAAGCCTTATCACATGCTATATATGGTTCCTAGCCATATGTTTGTTGCCATGTGCATGGAAGTAAGTGTTCCATGTGTAATTCTACCCTAAACTGACCTTGAGTAAGGCCAGCCACCTTTAACTATTTATACGTTGCTTTAGCTTATTCTACATGTACTTGGCATTGACCAGCTCGCCTATGATTGCTTATGAAGTTTTAGCGAACTTTCCCTGATATTATTTAGTTTTTTTTTTTAAATAAGGTGTTCTGGGTGAACATATTAGTTATGCGTTACTTAATTATAATCTTGTTCATTCATTCGCAGGTTTTATTCGGTTAGTTTCATTGTATCTTAGTTTTATTCCTATTATGTAGTTAGGATTATGTATTAGTTTTGGTGTGACTAAACAAGACTGATGATCTATAATTAATTAGAAGAAGCGATCTGAGACCTGATGAGAAGGCTGTCTCCAAGCGCTGTCTGCACTTTGCTTGTTAGACAAAAGTTGTTGAAACTTTTCTCCTTTTCTCCTTCTCATCACTGACCTGTGTGCTCTGTTGGTGCAGGGTACTTGCCCATAGGTCATGTCGCTTTGGGGAGCCGACCCGGGTCGTCTCTCTACCGTCTTCACTCCACCCCTTTTCCCCCATCATCATGCTGGATCTGTGAATCTATTGACCTAGCGAAGGACTACCAAGGACTTGGAGCTGCACCCATGTCCAATGGTCAAGTTGGATCAAGCAAGATCAAGATCACAGCTAAGCCTGGTTTAGTTTTTTTCAAATTTCTTGATTGTATAAGGGATTGCATTTTTTCTGTATAAGTCATTTTGGTTCCTTTTCCAGTTATTGATTGGATTGCTTTGAATCCTGTGTTTTCGATTTAAGTGTATGTTTTAAATTGCCTGTCCATCCATTGTTGGTATTTCTTGTATATCGCCATGTACTTTGAGTGATTGTATTTTTAGTGTAATCTTGCAATAAGATTATTTGAGGATCAACATGAGAAGCTGTCCGTTTGGATTCTTTCGAGCAGATTTTCCTTGTAAAACAAATTATTGAACCGGCACAGGTCTCGACTATGACAATCGAGAGCCAACCTGTGACATAGATAAGCCGTTACCTTGTAAAAGAATGTCTAAATTTCGACAAAATGTTTACACTGTAAAGTTTTTGTTATTTTTAAAAGAATTTCGGAGTTTAAAAATTCATTCAAGCCTAGAAATTACGTTGCATATATAAAATTCATTCGCTCTTTAATAAATTCACTCGATTCGGATTCTTAAAAAATATATGAGATCCTTAAGATTTTGCTCGGTTTTTGAAAAATATATACTAAACTTCTAGAATACGAGCCTTTCAAAAATGATATTCACTTTAAACATATTAAATTTAAAACTAAAACGCATTCAGTTTAACAAAAACCTGTTCTCATTTTTGTACCCTAATTCTACTTTTAGTGAATGGCGTACTCCGACCGGTATACCACGGACAGTTCACAAAATTCTTGGTACAGACGAGGCCGGAAATGCCCGAATATTACCGATACCATCCGAATGGTCTTTTTTCCTCTCCCCTTCCATTTGCTACCAATTTTAACGATTTTTATAGTTTTGAGGAGCATGAAAGTAAAGTGTTGACGGTAAACTGAATTTAATATGGACAGGATAAGTTCGGAATGGTTCGATTATCCCTGGAAATCTGAGGAGTGTTGGTCACGTTGGCATTCGGTGATACAGGACCCTTGATAAGAAAAGTAGTCGGAATCATTGGGTATGGTATCCAGACTGAGTATTAATATGCAGCGAGTTGAACTAGTTTTAGCAAACTCGATATAGTAAGTCGCCGCGGCGAGATAAATAACTTGCCTCCTCAAGAAAAGCAAGCGGCCTTTATATGTTTCCGTAATTTTTTGAGAAGTGTAGACACCGATTTTTCAAAAAAAGGCGAGGGGCTTCGCGACTGCTTTTTAGGGGTGACCTTCTGTGGAAAAATACCTTCAAAAGTCATCGGTTGATGAATGGAAATTCGAAGAGAAAACGAAACAACAAATAAATAAATAAAATGAGCTTTAATTTGATGTGTACAATGTATCTCAAACGCCTGAGAAACTCTTGAGTATATTTTTTTTTGGAAGTCCAGCTATTTATCACCGAGGGTTATGATCGCAGTTTAGTTACTGGCCTGCATCCTTGTAAACTCAGCAGTTTTCGGCCTATTTACTGGCCTTGGCCTACCCTTTAGTAAACCCTAATTTTAAAATGTCCCCCGAAAACGTGAAAAATAGAGGGGAAGAGGTTCTAAACTAGGTTTTGGGTGAAAATCGGAAAAGGTTGTCTCTCATCCCAGTTATGGGCGTGTGACCTGGAGTAGGCCTGCCGTGTCGTGTAGTAACTGCGCAGTATTTTGGCCATATCATGTAGGCCTAGGCCTTGGTGCATGTGCATTTCCAACTGAAGTTCTCAACTGCTGGAAATAACAGCTTGTGACTGCAAACGAGGGTTAATTTTTGTTGATTAAGGTAAGGTTTGGCCAAACTAGGTTTGCATATAGGGTCGGGCCTTGACCTAGAAGCCCGGTAAGCTTACTCACGTTCGAAACTCATGCTGGACAAGTAGGCACCCCACGATCACTCTCCCAATATCTTTTAATAACACGCTGTGTCTATCAGTCAAAAGTGTTCACCCAATCCAGTGGATGTTCCCCCTCCATCACTGCAATAGGCTTCAACATAAAGATGCATGGAATGTGCTCAAGGTTATACCGCATGACGCTAAGGAAGGTATTTCATAAACCTTTAACTGCTTTTAGAGTAAAAAAAAGAGATCCCTCGGGCAAAAAACCACAAACACATGCACAAACAAGACACGGTTTCTAAAGTTGTGCGAGTGCCAGTACTGGCACTAAACATTGTGCTGTCCTGTTAGTTTTGCTATTACGGTTTCTAATCTGAGGGAGTTTTAGTGCTCTGTAAAAGGACTTTAAAATGGTGATTTCAACTTTCCTGTGTGCACGAGATTGCCGTATCTAAGCCGGTCTCCGTTTGTGCTGTTTTATCGCAAAGACAATTTAATGGGATTTTCGTGAGAAAAAAATGAACAAAGCCAGAAAACCTGAGAGAAAATTATCAAAAATCACATCCCTGTACGTTTTCAATGGCCTGTTCACACTTCTTGAGATCATTTGTTCTCACCCCTGAAAAATTATGAATTTATTAGTGAAAAGGTCTAAACATCATCTATGGAACGTTCATTGTTATAATTGATGACGTTAATTGATAAAATGTCGTTTGATGATGCCGTCAATCTATTATGCGAAGTTCTGAATCCATTATAAAAGATGTGTTGTCAAACCATCATACGTGGTTCTTACTCCAGTTTTTGTCAAAATAAAAAAAAACCTGCCATGGCATCATGTAGCCAAGTAACGAGGTTCTTTGTG